TAGTCGAAGTTTATTCTAACATGCATTAGTCAATATTGCTAGGGTTGCTAGCATGTTGAATTGGGCCTTTCTTGTAAGCCTAATTGTTTAAGTTAGCTTGTACCCTAAGTTAGCTTGTAATGGGTAATTGTTAAAAAGCCCATTAGGTTAGTGTGCTATTTTTCTTATAAATAGGATGCTAGTTTCTCAATCTTGAAATAAAGGAAAAATAGGAAGATAAAATCCTAATTTCAAAAGAGAGAAGTTAATTTTTTATTCTTGTATACTTGTAATCTTGTTTCTAAGAGAAAGGAAAAAAGAATAGCAGTTTATAACCAATCCTTTTTGTTCCTTGTTGTTTTACCTTGTTTTCTTTGTTAACCCTAACCCTTGTGTGTTTCTTGATCATAAAGAAATTGTTTATACTTTTTTTAAAGACATACAATTCACAACACACTCCTTAATGTCATCTACGATCACATCCCTGCTGATCAAGACTTGCTTGTTCACTGGGTCAAACGGTTTTTATCCACCAGTCAAATGATATCCCACTAAGATCATTTGACTCGACTTATCATCCAACTTTCTTCTTTGTTGATCTAGCACATGTCTATGTGTTATGGATTCAAACACCTTCAAGTGGCTTAAGCTAGGTTTGACATCAGACTAACATTCTTCTGGTGTGATACCTTCAAGTCTCTTTGTCCGACATTTGTTTATTATGTATGTTGCAGTCGACACAACCTCATCCATAGCTCATTTGGGAGAAGTTTGCCTTTTAACATACTTCTCATCTTATTCATAATGGTTATATTCTTTCTTTCATCAATACCATTTTATTGATGAGGATATGGTGGCACCACCTCATGCACAATTCCCTCTCTTGTGCATAGTGTATCAAAATATTTTGACAGGTACTCTCCACCTCCATTTGTTCTCATAACCTTAATCTTGTGACCACTCTGTCTTTTGACCATTGCTTTGAACTTGGTGAAAACACCGATCACATCGCTTTTCTTCTTGATTAAGTAGGCCCATAGCTTTTAGCAGTAATCATAAATAAATGTAATAAAGTACTTGTTACCTTCAAGTGAATTTACCTTGAGAGGATTATATACGTTTGAGTAGATTACCTCGATAGTGGATTTCGACTTTCTTCTTGCATCCTTGCTGAAGCTATTCTTGTGTTGATTTGCTTTAACACATTCTTCACATACTTCTTATGGAATATGAATTTCTGGTAGGCCTAAAACCATGTTCTTCCTTTTCATATTACTAATGTCATTAAAATTCAAGTGACCAAGTCTATAATGCCATAACCATTCCTCTCTGCTAGCTGTAGTTGCCAGGAACTTGTGTTCTAAAACATCAAGTTCAATCTTGAAGGTTCTATTCTGAGACATAGGAGCCTTTAAGATTAACATGTTTCTCGAGTCGAGCACTCTCATCATTCTATCTTCGATCAATAATTTATAATTCCTCTCGATCAATTGACCTATACTTAGCATATTACTCTTCAAGCCAAGTACGTACAACACATTGGAAACTACTGATTGTTTACCAACCTTTTTTTTTTATCAAAACATAACCAATACCTTTTGAAGATAAGGTATTGTCGTTTGCAAATTTTACATTGTTCTTCGACCAAGGAATGATGTTGATAAACCAATCTTTTCTTCCAATTATGTGCGACGAACAACCTGAGTCGAGATACCTATGACCTTTGAATATTTATTCTTCTTTTATTATGACCAGTAGCATCACTTCATCTTCCGCAAGCTTTTCTTCACTTTTTTATCTTTCATGTCTCCTCGATATTGACTTGCATAATGGTCATATTTTTGACAATTGTAGCACTGAATATGACTTTTATCAGAATTTCTTCCATCACTTCTTCCTCTAACTACACCACCACCTCTATTATTTCCTTGGTTAGAAGATTTTCTCTGATTCAATGAACTACCATCTTGATGGTTTCCCCTACCATTCAAATTGTTGTAGCTTCCTCTGACCTTGTTACCATTTCATCTTCCTTTGTCTTTCTTAGTTGACTGAGCTTGCAAAGCCACGTCAGTCTTCGGATTGCTTATAGTTCTTTCAGCCAATCTTTGTTCGTGAGATTTAAGAGTCCCTTGAAGCTTTTCTTTTGTCATACTTGAAAAATCCTTTGATTCTTCTATGGTTACTACCACATGATCAAACTTTGGAGCCAATGACCTCAAAATCTTTGACACTACATAATTTGATGTCAATACCTCTCCACATGTTTTGATTTGATTCACCAGTTTTATTTTTTTGGTGAAGAAATCAATCATACTTTCATTGTCTTACATTTGAAGAAATTTATAAATTCTTTAATGAGTTTGTAATATTACATCCTCCTTTACTTTCTCAGCACTTCCAAATGATTTCCCAGGATGTCCCATGCTTCCTTTGTTGAATCTACATCACTAACTTTCTCAAAGTTGTTTGGATTAACACATTGATGGATTATAAAGAGAGTCTTATAATCTTTCTTCTTTAAATCTATGTGTACAACCTTTTGTTCATCCGTAGCATTCTCTCTAATTGGTGTTGCTCAATTCTTCACAAGATCCCAAAGATCTCGATAATAGAAAACAAACTTCATCTGCTTGCACCAATTTCATAATTCTTACCATTCAAGATTGGAAGATTTGCTGGAAAATCATGTTTGAATTATTCATCGTGGTTCAATGTGTCCCAAAGATCACACAATCAGTGCGTTAGATACCAGATGTTGGGAAAACTCCAATCTTGAAGTTAACAAATTAATCTTGATGAACAATAATCAATATTTCTGATTGATCATGTCTCTTGTTCTTCACCCTTCACTTAGGTGAAACAACCACTCCTTGATTGTAAGATGACTCTACACTACACAGAGAATTAAAGAAAAAGAAAAAGAAATTGAAAGTGAGAGAAAAGAGAAACTATGGAGAAAGAAGATGAATGTAATGTTGTTGTGCAAACTGCACTCTAAGTGTTTAATAATGTGTGTTAATCACAATTATGATTTCAGATTCTACACAATGCTCTCTTACACTTGATTCTTACTTAATTACAAATGAAATAGAACTCCTCTCTATTTATATATGAGATTACTTGAATTCTAAGTAATCACAAAAATAACTAACTCAACTAAAACTAAGTTAAGTCAATCTATTTCTACTCTGTCGACTCCTCCGACAACTACATGCCTCGACAAGTTATATTTAACTTTATGCAAATATAACAAATACAGTCTCTATTCATCTTAAACTATTTTGACTTCGACATAAAGAATTAAATATTTAACAAGAAGATGTATTTCTATCAGATTTGAGTTTACTCCCATAACTTTACACTCTAGTAAAATTTCAATTATTGAAATATATCATATTCAATCTTTAATCTCTTATATATAATTAGCGTCCAAACGGACCCGTTTGTCAGCTTTTCTTAAAATGCATTTGCATCAAAATATAAACAAATATTTTTTTATTTAATTTTAATTTAAAATAAATTGTTTTGTAAAAAAAACTTTGTGATATGGTCTCTCCCTCCCTCGATAACACTGACTTTATTTTATTGAATATATAGAAATTTCTGTTTTATTGTTGGTGAATGATTTATGATAAACTTTCTGAAGAGAGAATGTGAGCAACATGAACATATAGATAACTATGAAATCTATAACATATATATAAAAACAAAACATAGTGTTTTGATGTAGCCTATTTTTCTACTAATTTTATCTCTATTTTAACGTGTAACTTACACAATAATTTTTATTGAAAGCACTACTATTCTCTTCCACATAACTTTCTATGGTTAACTTCCTCCCTAACTTCTTATTATTAATTTTCTATATAACTTCCATTTTAAATTAATATTAAATAAAAATATATCATTTAAATTTTTACGTGTATATTAAAAAAACAGACAGATATATATAAATTAGTTAAATATAAATTAATTATTTGAATGTCTGAAAATGAAAGCTAACGAAATGTGCATTCATAGCGATACTTAATAATGTTAAAGACTACAGTTAAAAAGAATACATAAAAGAAAAATAATAGTAATATATATGGATATGCTATGGTGGTTTTTTTTCTCTCTCATCTTGACGTGGTGTTACATTTTATTTAACCATTCATAAACTGCTACAACCGTTCATAAACTCCTATGACCTAGAATCTCTTCAAAAAAATTAATATTTTTTTATCTAATTGTGTAAAAAAATCTGTTTCAAAACAGTGTTTTTACTGGGATAATATTGGAACAAAAATAAGTAAGGCTAAAAAATACGTATCCCTTCTATTTTCATAGGTATAGATAGTTATTGATTAAAATTATCCAAAAAAATAACAGATAATTGAATAATAAATTGTGGCGCTATTTTTTTTGATAAAAAAATTAATCCTCTTAAATATTACATTTGTGAAATTTTTTTATTTATAATAACCATATATTAAATATTATTTATCACAATAATCAATAATTTTAAAAAAAATCAAAATGGCTAACTAATCAACAGCCGTTCGCCATTTGAATTGGCGAAAGAGTGTAAATGGAAAATGAGTGTCAGCCAATTCGCCGTTTGGATTGGCGAATGAGTTTGATTTTCAGCCAACTCGCCGTTTGGATTGGCGAATGAGTTCATCCAATATTTGTTCTAAGGTTTCGCTTTTATTTTTTAAAGTTGTTTATTACTGTCTATATGTTTTGATATTTTTTAATATCTATATGTTTTGATATTTTTTTAATATCTATATGTTTTTATATTTTTAATTATTATTATTTTTTTAAACATAATTATTACTAATAAACTTTAAAAAATTAGGTTTAAATAATAAAATTAATTTTTAAATTAATAAACTTAAAAAAATTAATTGAAATTTAAACAACATTAAAAAAAAATTAAATATAGAAATGTTAATATAAAATATAGAAATAATAAATTATATTAATTTAGAATCTAATGAAAAGTACAATTACAATTGAACAAAAGAAAAAAACTAATGACCGGCTCTATCTAAGTAACCATCGGTGCCACATTGTGGGGGATGCGTGTTGCGACGAGGTTGTTGTGGTGTGTCCGGTCTCTGTGTGTTGAGTTGTGGAGGAGGGTATGGTTGGGACGGCCCCGACGTATCAGATAGAGTTTGCATCATTTGACCCCAATAGCTGGGAGGTCCAATGTCCATGTTTTCGAAGGATTGTCGGGGAGGTTGGGTGGAGTATGGACGGTATGGTTGTCCGAATGTGTACATGGAATTGGGTTGGTCTAGGTGTGTTGGTTGTTGTGTGGTGTGGTAGTCAAATAGTGGGTGGTTGGAAGGGTACTTGGAGAGGTAGTTGGAGGGGGTAGGGTCAAATGAGCGGTCTGGGCTATAGGTGGAAGGGGTAGGCTCAAAAGACGTATCAGGGCTGTAATGGTAAGGTGGTTGAGGCTGGGATTGGATGGGTGGTATGTAAGGTTGTCGTTGTTGATAGGGGGTATTTGTTGGCATGTATGGGTTTTCGTAAGGCTGGTTTTGAGCACTGAACTGTTGTTGTGGGTTTGACGAAGAACCGCGTTCCCTTGGGTCGGCCAAATAGGTTGGCTGGGACAGGAAAGACTGAGATGTCGTGACAGACCTAAACCAAGTCATATATTGAAGACTTGGCCTAGCCCCGTGCACAATATGGTCGGTTAAGACGTATTGTCTTCTTCTTTTCCAATGTATACGCAAGTCCTTTCCAAACTCTTTCCAATCACTCAAACTCCACTGTGCGTCTACCCGCTTTTGATGCCACTTCCCCAAGTCTACTGGAGCATCTGGAATATCCTGATGCATCCCAAATTGTAGTTTCACCCGGTCACTTTGGTGCATCTCCACCGTAGTGAACCTAATTATGAGTGTCTTTGATATCCACACAGCGACATCGTCGGGGTTGGGCTCGTGGTCGAGACCCTCGTACGGCATCCAGACAAACTACAATAAAGTTGGACAATTAAGTTAGACAGAGTTTGAGAGGTTTATGCATATACATTAAAAAAATTAATGGTAAATAACTTACATTATCTGGCCCAAGGTGGTCGATTAGGTTGCGGTATTGAATTATAGAGTGCCTTGGACATCTCTGATAATTCATCCCTGGAACAGATCACCTAAAAAGATAAACACATCTCAGAAATTATTAACTGAAAAAGAATATGTAGTTGCTAAATAATCTTGAAAAGATACTTACTTGTTGGCGTACGGGAACGTAAAAGAATTCCTGTTTATTGGAGCAAGCATTGGCATCCTAGACCAACCACACGCTTGCAGAAGATAAGCACAACCATAAAAAGTACAGGAATTTTTTTTGAAGTTTTACAAAGGGCGCTATATAGATGGGCGAGGACAGCTGATCCCCAGCTATATTCGCACACTTTGTTAATATTCCGCAATAATGGTAAATACATAGTATGGACGGTATTTCCAGTGCCATCTGGAAATAAAAAGTGTCCGAATAAAATCATAATATAGCATCGAGTTTTGAGTATTTTCTCACACTCGGTGCTATCATCAGTTAAGACAATACGGTTGTATTATTCTCTAAGGTATTTTAAATTAATTCCCTGACCCCTCGGGTGGCCCTCGCTTTCCGCCTGAGGTCCGTCCGCACAAAGAGGGACGCCCAATAAATCTTCGCAAAGTTGGTCAGGGACACCAACTTTGTCGTTGACGGCCTTACCATCGATGTGTAGGCCAAGCAACATGTAAACGTCCTGAAGAGTCACAGTACACTCACCAAAAGGTAGGTGAAATGTATGTGTCTCCGGTCTCCAGCGTTCTAATAACGCTAGAATAAATTTCATGTCGAGGGAGTAAGATTTGATTTCGATCAAATCGCCAAACCCACAATAAGTAAGGTAGTCCGTAATGAGTGGGTCGTGTGGTATGTAATCATGCACACGATATCGAAACCTTGATACATCCTGCAGAATAATGAATGTTATTTTAGAGAAGAAGTAAAATTACTAACGGTTTTTTTAGACAAAATTGTAAACATAGACAAGAACAAAAGACTTACAAACTCGGCGATGTTTTCAGCCGTCCCTCTGTGAGAGTCACCCATGGTGAGTAGAGACATTGTCATTTGGGATGTTGAAATTTAGAGATGTTGTGTTTGAGATTTGAGAGTTTGAGAGTTGAGAGTTTGTGATTTTGAGAGTTTGAGAGGTTGAGAGTTGAGAGTTTGAGAGGTTGAGAGTTTGTGATTTTGAGAGGTTGAGAGGTTGAGAGTTGAGAGTTTGAGAGGTTGAGAGTTGAGAATTTGAGAGTTGAGAGCTGAGGGTTGAGAGTAGGAGAGTATGAGAGTTTAAGTGTGAGTATAATTTGATGGGTAAAGACCCTATATTTATATTCCACGAGTGGCTTGAAGCATGTGTTGTGTAAATGCATGTTGGACCAGTGTCGTGATGGATGTGTTGTGTAAATGCATGTTGGACTAGTGTCATGATGCATGTGATGTGTAAATGCATGTTGGATGCTAAGTCTTTTTTATGTAGTGTCTCGTCTAATCAAGCATGGTGGATGCAGTGTCCCGTCTTATCAAGTCCTGATGCATGCAGAAAGAGAGTCTTGTAGGCCTGCATGGTCAATGTAGGCATGCAGGATCACATGTGAAAGCAAGATTTCTTCTTTGTCTCGTCTAATCAAACAGGCTGCATGTCATTGATTGGGTATCCAGGCTTTGTGTTTCACATGTTTCCGTCGTTGATTTTTTAGGTTGATTTTTTTTATTAAACGTAGTGTGATTTTTTCATATTATGTTTTTTTCTCAATTAAAGACATATTGTTTTTTTTTATGGATGATAGGTTCTGATGGTTGTAGACGCATGCATGACTAGTGTCCTGATGCATGACATGTGAAAGCAGAACTTTGCATTGTCAGATCTTATCAAGTGTCCTGTTCAAGTCCTGATGCATGTCATTGATTGTGAAGCATGCGTGACAAGTGTCCTGGTGCATGCAAAAAGAGTACTGATGCATGGTCATTAATTCGCAGGGTCACATGTGAAAATTACAGATTCATTTACTGATACATGTAAAAAAAATCTTTAAACTCTTTAAACAAGAAAACACTCAGCCCATTTTATAAAGCCTTTAAACTCTTTAAACTCAAACAATCAAACACATTAAACACTCAGACCCTCAAACACACAAACACTCAAACACTCAAACACTCAGACCCTCAAACACTCAAACACTCAAACACTCAGACACTCAAACACTCAAACACTCAAACACTCAAGCATTCAAACACTCAAACACCACAATATATGATTTCCGCTCATCTGAACGGTGAAGTTTTCGAATGTGAAGTGTCGGGATACAATTTCAGAAACACGGATGTTACAAAATTTTTAATTGACAGAAGGTCTAATTATTTACACCTGAAGTCAAGAATAGAAAAAAAACTGCAATGTGGTCCAGTTGGGCAAATAATATACAAAAACCCAGTATTTTTTGGCGGACCTGATTCATGCAAAATTTTCCCTTTAAAGGTGCGAGACGATGAAGATGTGTGTGTCGCGGTGAAAATCGGATACCAAACTATTGATTAGTTTGAATCTTATATTCATTTTGCAACCGAACTTTGATTTGTCCAAAGGAAGGGATAAAGATCGAAATTCCCACAATGCAATGCAAATGCAAGGTTTAGAGAGTTATAGGTTCGGGGGTTGGTTAAACTTAGGGAAGGTACTAGCATCCTAAGTTTCTGTAGTACTCTACAGGAACCTCTTGTTTTATGTTTGTTTACTGCTAAGGTTTATCTGCTTACTGGTTAAAAGACCCTAGGGGTTTATATCTAAGTATACTCGATAAGGCATCGCACCTTGTGCCTACATATCCTTACGGGAGTGGAATCAGAGTATGTTGTAGTTCACCCTAAAGGGTTAGAGGAGTCCTTTGACTGTGGTCAAAGTTCCTACGGGTTTAGGGTAGTTGATTGATTGGGTCTAGGAGAAGAGATGAGTCTTCATTTTAAGGGAGAGATAACCACCACAAGTGTAAAAGAGAAGGGTTGTAGGAAATGGTCTTTGCATCGTCTTAAGAAAAGGTCTTACGTACTCGGACGGTCGCCAAGTATGCCTTTGTTGTTCTTAAGGCAAAGTCCCTACATGTTTGATTGTATTGTTTGTGGGGTGGAGATTATATCTCACTTAAGATGATTAACATCTATTCTCTAAAAGTGTTAAATATTATTTTTAAGTTGTTTGTTGGGGGTGATTGTTTTGTCTAAGTTGTAAAGATAGAGACACGGTCCTTCCTATAGGGTAGGTCCTAAACTTAAATGATCAACTTGAAGAATCAAGGATCGAAGGGAATATGGTGCATATGATGTGCAACTACACACAACGTTGAATTATGTGTAGGTTTTTCCTTTGGACGGAATGCGATGTATGAATAGATAAATATGATAATGTAAATGCAATAGAATAAATTGCGTAAGAGTAAATTGCAGAAATGTAAAGCCATACACGAACGCATGAAAGCGCTAAGTATGTGTGTGTGCATTGTGAATAAGATAAAGCAGATGAAGATAAATAATGTATACGCATGAAAGCGCTGAGTGTAAGTGCATGTGTCGTGAGTGCATGATCGATTGTTTACGCGGTTAATTGATTTTAGACGGGATGTTGAATTATAAGAAAGTTGATCGATTTTAGTAAAAATGCATTTGACCTCTAAAATAAGAGTTATATTAATTATCATCTCTATTTATTTTATTTGCAAAAAGTTGCATAAATTACTTGAGTTGTAAGAAAATGCTCTTTCTTAATGAATTGATTTTTTATAAAAGGTTAAGTTAATTATATCAATTTTAAAGGGAGGGTTTTATTATTAAATAGACAGACTGGCAGATGTAACTTAATTATAAAGGATTTATATTATAGTGAATAAGTGTTATTTGATTAAAAGTTTATTAAGTTGATTTGAAACCTAAATAAAATTTAATTAACAAAATGAATTAGTTTTATTAAAATGAAGTATAGACCTTATTAAAAAAAAATGAGTGAATTATGAAAGGTTATCAAGGGTTGCTAATTATTTTAATTTAAAATCTGATTATATTAAAGACTAAAAACTGGTTAATTAACGTAAAAAAAAATGATTAAGGTTGATTAGGGTTATATGTGTGTGATTAGTGATGTTATGTGTAATTAAGTGATAGTTGCACAGATAAGCAAACAGAAAAGAACAAAAGCAAACGAAAATTGAAGAGTGGAACCCTAGGTCCCCCCTTTCCCTTCCAATCGTCTCCAAATCGTTAATCCATCATCTTCCCATGGTTTCGATCCCCTTTAAACCTGAAACAGAGAAACAAACAATCAACAGGTTCGAGGATTATTACGGCGGAAACAAAGTTTTACCAATGAACAGCGACGGCGGCGCCGGAGACGTCGATGGGTGTTTCGCGGGCTTGGGTTGCGGCGGCTGGGGGTAGACTTCGTCAATCGGAAGATAAGTTTCTTCTCTCTTTTGTTTCTTGCGTTTACGAGTTCAGTGTTTGGTGGTTCTAGGGTTTTTTGATGCTATCGGCTTCGTATTCTTGGAGTCCTGTTTCCTGTAGCTTCGATCCTCTTATATAGGCTCTAAGTTTGAGATTTTCTGATTTGAGAATTGATTGCTGCCTTGAAGAGCTGGTTGATTCTTTCCATTTAGCTTACACGAAATTTTGAAATCTTTCCTAATTCAGACGATCGCTATTAACTGGAATTCAATTCTTTGATTTTGCGGTTCAAATTGAGATTGGATCTGATTGGATTTCTTTTGGAATATTCCCTCATAACTTGCTAACTTAGGGTTTATGATCTGGCAGGTGCAGATAGCGGTGAGTTTGGGCCAAAAATGTGGATTGGAAGCCCATAGAGTAATGTGGCTGTGGGAGTCTCCAATCGATGCAGGTGCAATCACGGATCCTTGCTCTG